CCTAATTATATAAATTAAAATCAATAAAATTATATTTTCTCCTCCATCTAGGTGTTTTTGGCAAAATTATTTGCTAAATAAGAATACAGAATTTTATTTAATTTTTTCCACCCTCCTCTGAAAAACAGTCTATAATCTTATTGTAACCTGCATTTGTGAAGTTTGACATTTGTTCTGTGGCATAACGACGAGTCATGGGCGAGAAGGGTTTTTTCACAGTGGAATATAAAACAATACCATAGCGTGTGTTGTACTATAATTTTCAATTGGAATTCTTGTGATTTCTGTAGCCCTTTACTTAATTATTTTGGTAGTGTATTTATATGTCAGTTTCTAGTGGAGCCTGGTTATGGAACATTTTGTGTCTGGAAATGAGATATTGTATATAAGAAGTGTTCAGTTGTGAATATTTATATTTCTTATGTTTTGCAGTGTTACGATTTTACTGCTCATGATTTGAAAGATAAAGGAGAAATAGGTCGAGGCAATTATGGATCTGTAAACAAGATGATACACATTCCAAGTGATACACTGATGGCTGTTAAGGTAAAAGCTAATCTCGCCTCAAATCCACATATTGGACTTGTACAGTGCCTTGCTTGTTAAGATGGGCTGTTGGGGTCCTAGTCTTTTTGCTTTAGAGAGCAGCTTAGCTCAGTCAGCTAAACTTGTGGTAGCCACTGTGTGTGTGCAGAAATGTGGAGATCTCTAGGTTCCCGGTTCAATTCCCATTGCTACCCTCCTTGTGTTTCTGCTGGAGGGCTTTGGATGAGAAGTTTAAACTGTTGGTCCCATGTGTATTATGGCCCATGTGCATGTGTAAGAATGCAGTACACTATTCAGATAACAGTAGGCGATTGTCTCCCAGTGTACTGCCCAATCACCACCAGAAGGACCCCACTGGAAATCAGTTTTCAGTTATAGTTAATTAGGGGACATTAACAAATTTTTTTTATTAGATAAGTTGTAAATGTACAAATATAGCAAGTTTGTTTTTGAGTTTTTAATTAAAGTGAGACCTGTATATTATTGCAATTATGATGAGACACTAATTAATTTGTTGGTTCTTCCAAAACATTTAGAGAATCCGATCCACAGTAGAGGAAAAAGACCAGAAACAGCTGCTAATGGACTTGGACGTGGTGAAGAGGAGCAGTGAATGCCCGTATATTATCAAGTTCTTTGGAGCTCTCTTTAAAGAGGTTCAGTACATTCACAGAAAATACTTGTTTATTCTCATAGCCCTGTTCAGTCTATCAAATGTTATTTTAAAAGATAGTATGTGACTTGACTAAACCTATACAGTTAAGTAATGCCTCATGTTTCCTTGGAATGTTCACTAGTTATTTATTTTTTTCTTCAGCGCTTTGATTTTGATGTAGTAGCGCTATACACAGACCTGTCATTATGACATCACATCATGACCATATATGGGCATACAGTTTTTTGTCAAATGAAATTTGATACTTTAGTCTTGACAGGGCTTTAATCCTGAACAATATTTATTATTTAAACCATCATAATTGATTTCCACCATATTTTTTAATGTAATGATGAAATTCATAAGAAACAATATAATAAAAAAGAAATGTTTCGATCACTACTATAAAATAGAACTGGAAACTAACTAATGAAATGAACTAACAGAGGGCACTAAAATGGAACATCGTAAAGGTGATTCAAATTTTATTAAGTTTGTTTTGTTTGTTAGGGTGACTGTTGGATTTGTATGGAACTTATGGATACCTCATTGGAT